CCGTCGGAGCAACGCGTATCCGGAGCGACGCGCGCTCGCGGAAATAGATGTCTCGCGTTTAAGATATAATGAAGAAGAGGAAATAAATGCGTACTGGCGAAACGACACTTGGTGTTCGGCTACCGAGAGTGATAGAGAACTTTCTCTGATCGCTCTTCGCGATTCGGTCCGATTACCGGTCATCCGTTTAGACACGCGGTTTTCGTGCGTTTGTCCGCTGTGCGGTATCCGATATTGCTCGATAAACGCCGCGTGCCTTTTTGTACTAAAGTGAGATTAAAGACTCTATTTTAATAATTACTGCTCTTAGACAATTCGCCCTGTTATCCCTCCTGACCACGTAAGTGACATATCATAGAAAGCTTACAACAGCGATATTTTTACTATAAATTTTACAATTTAATAAATTACTTTTTATATTAAAGATGTAAAATTTGCTGCGGTACATGTAAAACTAGATTAATATAATAAAAGTTTTATAGAAATAAAATTTAGTAGTGCATATTATTTTAAATAAAAAATACGGTAGAAGAATTGCGATATATTTTTTTATTTTGATATGGTTGTTATATTCATCTTATTAAGTTAGCTTTACGTTTTTTATACAACAATATTTTATGAAATTGCAATCTTAAGCGGGGTCCACACGCTATGTTTTGTCCAACGTTTTGTCTGCACAGGCCAAACTGCGCAGGCAAGATTGTGCAGGTAAAACGTTGCAATCCAGGGGTGTCTAGGCAGTACAATTTTGTCCACTTAGTTGCGCGGAATCATAAAGAAAGTGCAACTTTTTCAATTTTTTTGCCAAAAAGGCAAATTAAACATCTTTAAAAAAATTTATCAAGTCTCAAAAAAATTGATCAAGAAAAAAAGAAAATAAAATTTTTGAACTGCGCGATGTGCAAGACGCACAGACATGCTTACAGGTCACAGGTGAAACGGTATATGGAGATGAAAAACGAAACTTGTTTACACGCAAGGTTTTGTCAACGTTTTGCCTACGCAGTCAAGACGTTGTAGACAAGACGTTGCATGTGGACAGAAAAACTGCAGTTATAAATTGAATTGTGCGGAGACGGTACATGGAGACAAAAAAATATACCTCGAGGCATATTTTTTCATACATTTCATAACTGCACAGTTTTGCATATCGTCTTTGCATGCGTCTTGCATATCGCGCAGTTCAAAAATTTTATTTTCTTTTTTTCTTGATCAATTTTTTTGAGACTTGATAAATTTTTTTAAAGATGTTTAATTTGCCTTTTTTGGCAAAAAAATTGCAAAAGTTGCACTTTCTTCGTGATTCCGCGTAACTAAGTGGACAAAATTGTACTGCTTAGACACCCCTGGATTGCAACGTTTTACCTGCACAATCTTGCCTACGCAGTTTGGCCTGTGCAGACAAAACGTTGGACAAAACGTAGCGTGTGGACCCCGCTTAAAGCAGAACTCAGACTTAGGGTGAAATCAGATGATACGGAAAAGAACTGCGGAACGGAGAGTGCGTCATTGAGACAGCCAATCAC